CGAGCCGCAGGCCGGTGGCCACAGCCGCGCTGAGCCGTCCGCCTGTGCCTTGCAGACCTACGAACAGAGGAAGATCGTGGAGTTCACCTGCCACACGGCCTTCTTTGTCAGCATCGTGGTGGTGCAGTGGGCCGACCTGGTCATCTGCAAGACCCGGAGGAACTCCGTCTTCCAGCAGGGGATGAAGTGAGTGCGGCCCCAGTCGCTTCTAAACCCTGTCGGCACCTGGCCGAGTCCCTGGGGTCTGGCCTGGGGAGCAAATGGGGTTTCCATTGACCTCAAGTTCCTAAATGCGACTAATACCTGAAGGACTGATCTGCCTTTTAACACTTCACAGGAGAAGATGAACGTGTGTTTGCCTCGCTAAGCATTTACCTCCCTTGATTTCAGGAACAAGATCCTGATATTTGGCCTCTTTGAGGAGACGGCCCTCGCTGCTTTCCTCTCCTACTGCCCCGGGATGGGAGTCGCCCTGAGGATGTATCCCCTCAAGTAAGTCCTCCTCTGCCGCTGGCGCGTGGGAAGCAGTGCGAGTGGCTGTCCCCGGGACGGGCAGCAGTCGCTCTTCCTCTCGGAGTCCGGTGGGTGGTGCGCACAAGGATTCCTCTGGGAGAATTGGGAAAGGCTGGCTCATCAGCAAACCCAGGGACTCGCCGGGTCTCCCAGGTCAGGAGGAACCCACGCTAGGGAGGCGGGCTCTGGCCCCTGCTCCCTGCATCGGGCACCCAGCCAGGCCCCTCTCCTCCCAGCCTCAGTGCAGTCAGTAGGGGGCAGCCAGGGGTGTCCTGGGGCTTTGGGGACCCAGATTCAATGACTTGCTTACCTCGTCACTGTGTGTCCCATTGTGAGCCCCACCTTTGTGGGCCCCTGAACCCCCTGCTCTCAGGAGAGAGGCTGGAGCTGCAGGGCGGAGCCCCCTTGCTTTAACGCGAGTGGGTAGCAGTGAGGAATGTTCACCTACAGGGCTGACCACACCCTCTAGTCCAGCGGTTCTCAACCTTCCTAATGTCGTGACCCTTTAATACAGTTCCTCACGTTGTGGTGACCCCCAATTTCATTGTTACAAATTGAACATAATCAAAGCATAGTGATTAATCACACAAACAATATGTAATTCTATATGTGGTTTGCGATGGTCTTAGGCAACCCCTGTGAAAGGGTCGTTTGACCCCCCCAAAGGGGTTGCGGCCCACAGGTTGAGAACCGCTGCTCTAGTCGCTCTTTAAAACGTTGAGTGTTTGGTGCCTGCAAACTGGTTGAGCTTTAGCAGCTGCACCTTATTCAGTACTCTGAGCCACAGCATGGAGGACACTACAACACAAACGTGACTGCAGGCATCAGCCTCCCTCTCTGGACTCGGCCAGCCCCTCCTCGGGGACACCCTGGTGGGTGTGTGCCGGCGTCAGCTGGTGCAGGGCAGCCAGGGTCTATCTAGCTCATTATGGGCCCAGCCTGTCTTCCTCCGCCCATGGCTCCTGCTGGTCCCTCCTGGCTGGTTCCCTTCGTGCTCACCCTCCTGCTTGTGCCCATGCACCTCGTCTGTGGCCTCACTCGTCATTTCTGCTCAGCTAGACTCTCATCTTAAGGCCTGGGGCGGGCATGTCCCAGTGGGTTCTAGCATCCGGGGCCACGCTTACCTTGTCATTGTGTGTCCCATTGTGGGCCCCTGAACCCCCTGCTCTTAGGAGAGAGGCTGGAGCTGCTGGGCGGAGGCCACTTGCTTTAACGCGAGAGGGGGTAGCGGTGAGCAGAGGAGCCACCGCCAAACAGCCTGGCCTTAAACCTGAATGTTCACCTACGGGGCTGACCACACCCTCCAGTCGCTCTTTGAAACGTTGAGTGTTTGGTGCCTGCAAATTGGTTGAGCTTAAGCAGCTGCACCTTGTTCAGTACACTGAGCTACAGCATGGAGGACATTACAATACAAACGTGACTGCAGGCATCAGCCAGCCCATCTGGACTTGGCCATCCCCTCCTCGGGGACACCCTGGTGGGTGTGTGCTGGCGTCAGCTGGCGCAGGGGCAGCCAGGGTCTATCTAGCTCATCATGGGCCCAGCCTGTCTTCCCACAGCCCGGCTGATGGGTAAATCCACACTCCCTCCGCCTGTGGCTCCTGCTGGTCCCTCCCGCCTGGTTCCCTTCATGCTCGCCCTCCTCCGTGTGCCCGTGCACCTTATCTGTGGCCTCACTTACCCGTCACTTCTGCTCAGCTAGATTCTCACCTTAAGGCCTGGGGCAGGCATGTCCCAGTGGGTTCTAGCATCCGGGGCCACTGTTTTATCAAGAGGAGGCTACAGTGATGGCAAACTTATGACATGCGTGTCAGAGGTGACACGCGAACTCATTTTTTTGGTTGATTTTTCTTTGTTAAATGGCATTTAAGTATATAAAATATCAAAAATATAAATCTTTGTTTTACTATGGTTGCAAATATCAAAAAATTTCTATATGTGACACGGCACCAGAGTTAAGTTAGGGTTTTTCAAAATGCTGACACACCGAGCTCAAAAGGTTCACCATCACTGGGCTAAGATGGAGCCCTACAGGCTGGAAGTCCCACTAAAGCGGGGTAGGGCCTCGGGACCCCTTGCTGTGACTAGGGATTTGTTCTTGACACTCTGCCCAGTTAGGAAGGTGAGTTAGTAACACTGGTGCCTGAGTCCAGTGAGGACCCCTGTCGCTGGGCAGGACACGGAGGGGAGGCTGGTGGGGAGACAGCGTGGCCTCCATGGGAGGCTGCTCAGGGCACCTGAGACCGCTCCAGCCCCTGACCTGTTAGGGCTCAGCTTGTTCCTTCCCCAGGCCTGGCCCTCGGAACACCCAGCTGAGTGTCCCCAAATTCACTGTCCGACCAAATTCAGGGTCAAATGAGCTGGTTGTGACCCTCACTGGCAGTTCTTTGTCTTAGGGGGTATCACACAAATGACTGAGCTCCTTAAACTCTTTACAAAGGGGGGAGAATGTCCTGTCGACAAAATAATCCAAACTTGCCTTGTCGTCCGATCCTCACGAAAGCCACACCGAGGCTGGCTGGCTAGGGGCTCCTCCTGCCTCCCCTAGGCCCGGGCGCAGAGCGGCCGTCCCGTGTCCAAGGCCTCGGTGTGTGTTCTGTGTGAATGGCACCTGGCTCTCTTTCAGACCTACCTGGTGGTTCTGTGCCTTCCCGTACTCTCTCCTCATCTTCGTGTACGACGAAGTCCGAAAACTCATCATCAGGCGAAGCCCTGGAGGTAAATTAGAGGCATCGTTAGTTTGGGGGGCGGGAGGGGGGGTGGCTGTAGTCTGCGGGCTTTTGTTACGTTTCCTGTGAAGTGTCTGGGCTCGGCCTGATTGGCTGAGGCCCTCGGACCAACTGAAAACCGGCTACAGTGACAGTCCCGTCCTCAGAACCGAGCCTCAAGGTGCTAAGCCAGACAGGTCGCAGGGGAAACGCCATCCGAAACCTAAACCTAAACCGCCTTTCCCTTTCCCGCCGCAGGCTGGGTGGAGAAGGAGAGCTACTACTAGCGCCCGTCCTGCACGCCGTGAGCATCGTGCCACTCTGCACCCTCACCCGCCCCTTTGTGTACTTCAGTCTCGGAACTCAGAACTCCACCCTGGTAGGAAGCACCGACGCATGGGGAAAGCGAGCCGTCCTGGAATGAAGCATGTAGCTATAGGGGGGAGGGGGGGGGGCTGCCTGTCAAACATCCGTGTGTGGGAACGACAGCGGGGAAGGTTTTTACGTGCCTTTTTGTTTTTGTAAAAAGGAAATCATGGAGAGACCGAAAGAATACATTTTATATCTGGATTTTTACAAATAAAGATGGCTATTATAACGGAACTTGTCTCGTGCCCTCCTCCCTTCTGCGGACTGGACGTCTGTGTGCGGTCGGGCTGGTGCTGGGGGCCGGCAGTGACGTCAGCATCGCCCTGACGGCTCTGTGGGTGACGGAGTCACTGACCCAGGAAACGTTTCGGCTGGAGTACCTACCTTGCTGTGGGCTCCCTCGGGTACGGCCGGAACTCGCCCGGCTGCCCTCACAGCCATGCACGACCCAGGAAGGGTTTCTAGGTGTCCGGTGTGATAAACAGCAGGGGAGGCCCTCTCCCCGCACCGGCCGTCTCACTCGGGGCCCCACCAGCGTCTCTGGACCAACGTTAGTCCGAGGAGCAGAACCCTCTGTCTCCAGCCCCCGTGCTCATCACACAGCCCGCCCCTTCCACACGGCTGTTCCTGACTTAGCATCGCCGCTCAGGAGGTGGCTGAGCGCCAGGAGGCACTTACGAAGAAGGTGAGGGCGATCTGTCTGCTTCAGGGCCGAGCTGAGAACACCTGCTTTCAAAGAGCAAGTGTGACCGGCCCCTCCGCCTCTCTGCTCAGCACGCCGTCTGGGTGCTGTGGGTGCCCACGCCTCAGGGCTGCCCTGGCTCCTAGCAGGTCCAGTCCTTACCTCGCACCAGGCCACGGCCATGATCTGCCAGGTGATCCGAGATGGTACAGGTTTTGTTTTGGTGGGTTTTGGTTTTTTTTTTTTCGCTGAAAAGCTTGATCCCTCAAGAGCCATGAGCAAGGAATTACCTGGCAGATCTAGAGTGCTGGTCGCTTCCTGGCTGAGCAGAGGGGAGGGCACAGTAGTTCCCACATGCTGGGGGGCCACCGTCCCCCAGCCTGCCCCGCAGGTCCACAGCTTCCTAGCCAGATCCACTCGTTCTCCCTCTTTCCTTGGGCACCTGATTCTAGGATGATCTCTACACGTGTAGGCAAATCCTCCTTACAAACGGCCACTTTGTTCAGCCCAACGGGAGGAAACGAGGCTGAGGCACCAACTGAGACCTCAGGGTCAGAGGCCGGGAGACGAGGCGTCACGGGTCCTTCCTGGGATGCCATGCAGCTCACGGGCTCGTGGATGATGGGGTGAGGCCACCCCCTCTGCTCAGACTGCGGGGCCTTGTCAGGTTTGCCGCGCGTGTCCCCTCGCCACACCACCCACGCCTGCTCCTTGCACCCTGTGAGTTGACCAGTGAGCTCGTGCTACTGGGATGAAGGTCCCGGTATGTCCTCGCTTAAGAGAGCGTGAAGCAGCCTGAGACCGTGGGCTCTGGAGATGGCCCAGCGGGCTCCCCAGACAGCCCTCCGCGGCCCCAGACTTCCAGGAACACCCGGGGGGGGGTGGGCAGAGCAGGTCAGAGCAAGGCTCAGAGCTCCCACAAGAACATTCTGCCTTTTTCTGCTTGACAATCCCTTGAATAAAAGCTCTACAGCCAAACATTCCATCTAGAGAGAGCAGATAAGCCTCGGGTAAAACTGGCACCGAAACCAGGCCTCCCCATGGGCCGATCTCCCAAGCTTTCTAAAGGCTGCGAGAGCGAGCGCCCCCAGGACCAGCTCCTGAGGACTGAACCAGCCACTGTCCACCTGCAGAGGTGCTACTGAAGCTACGGACCGCCCTCCAGACGCTGGCCACGTGCCCCTCTGCCCGCCTCCATCGCCGAGCTCTCGACGCTTCTTCTCAAGGTCCCACTGGCCCCTGGCCTTGTCCAGCTCCCTGCTCTCACAGACAAGCTCCTGAGAAGAGTCACCATGGCTTCCCCTGCTTGCTCACCTCCTCGTGTACCCCCGGCCTCCGACGCGTCCTGGGTGAGGACACGCTGACCTGGTGGTAACGCCAGTGGCACTGCCAGCCCTCGCGGGGCCTGTGTGCCTCCTCCGCACGCTTCCTGAAACCAGGCGCCTTATCTCTGTCATCACCCTGCCCCCTCTTCCGCCTTCACCTCCTCCTGCTCCCCAGCTGAGCTGCTAGGTCCCTCAGGGAGGCCCCCACCCCCTTCCTTATCTCCCTGGGGCTTCCAAGGCGTGTCCACCGCCAGCCCGGTCACCTGAGCCCCAGGCCTTACATCCAGTGACGCCGGGATTTGTACGGAAAGAGCACAGCACCCAGAGTCTCAACCCGATGACACACCTGAGCTCAAGGTCCCTAGAATGAACCGGCTTTAGGCCGGGGTGGGGAACCCTTCTGCCAAGGGCCATTTGGGTATCTATAACATCAAGCATGATCAGCTTACAGAGCAGCCTGCTATGTCTGGTCAAACATTTAACTCACCCTGAAGGCCTTGGCAGGGCCAGACCACATGATCCCGTGGGCCGTCTACGGCCCGAGGACTGGATGTTCCCCACCCCTACTCGAGGCAATGACGCCAGTCACCCTGTCAGGAACCTGGAGGTCAGGTGAGGCTTCTCGCCCCTGCCTGGCTGGGGCCCCTCCGCTCCCTTGCTGTTGATTCCAATGTGGTAGCTGAGAATACGGCCTGTGGTTCTCAACCTTCCTCATGCCACGACCCTTTAATACAGTTCCTCATGTTGTGATGACCCCCAACCATAAAATTATTTTCGTTGCTACTTCATAACTGTCATGTTGCTGCTGTTAGGAATCGTAATGTAAGCATCTGATATGCAGGATGGTCTTAGGCGACCCCTGTGAAAGGGTCTTTCGACGCCAAAGGGATTGCGACCCACAGGTTGAGAACCACTGGCCTAGACAGACGTGCCCTGTCAGCCATGGACAGTGGACACAGAGTGGAGCCTCTACTTTGTTTTCTCTGGAATAAGCATGACGGTCAGTTGTTACAGGATTAGGTGAGATCATATGTGAAGGGATGAACAGTGGCTGGTGCTCAGTGAATCCTGTTCGGCCACCGCTGCCCTGCACATCTGGATGTGGCCAACTGGACCACTTCCTTCCTGCCCTCTCTAATCCAGTGGTTCTCAAAGCACTTGCTCAAGATCAGCATCGCCCGGGAGCCTGTTAGAAAGGCACATTCTAACTCCGACCGACCGAATCAGAAACGGGTGGGACCCCGCAGCCTGCTGGCAAGCCTTCCAGGTGACTGGCGCGTGTCAAATCTGGGCACCGCTGTTCTCCATCTTCCAAGCTCCACGTGGCCACCGCTTCACCCTCCATGCCTGCACCCCAGACGCAGTCACACAGCTGGGAGTCCTACCGTGCTGGACACGCTTCCCCGGGTGTCAATCGCCCTTCCTGCCCAGCACCGTGTCCCAGCGGCTTTCTCCCAACGCCCACGGGCCCTCCGGACACTGTGCAGGCCGGCCCGGAGGGCCCGTGGGCATTGGGGTGCAGGCATGGAGGGTGCAGCGGTGGCCTTGCTTTTGCACGCCTGCCGGGGACCCTTGGGCCTCTTGATCGGTGCGTCCCTGGATTCCTGAGCACACAAACCAGGCCATCCCCTCCCCAACAGCTGGCACAACCAGGAAGCCGGGGAGAAAGTTCTCAAATGGGCTGCTACCCCAGGCACAGCAAGAGGCAACAGTGGAGGAGCCGCGTCCTTCTGTAAAAGAGGCCTGTTTCTTAGCTTCTCTGCATGGCTGGGGCCCGGGGCGGGCTTCTAATTGAGCACGTCGAAGGGCCTTGAAGGCGGGCATGATCCTCGCACCCTCCTCTGCCAGGCCCCTGAGCACCAGGATCTCCCGAGGGGAACCAGCACACACACCTGTGCCCTGGCTTTTGTCTGGGGCCCCTGGCACACCCCTTGGTCAAGTACACATGGGACAGTCTCCACAACGGATCACATGTTAGGCCACAAGACAGGGCTTAATAAATTTAAGAAGACTGATATCCTAGCAAGTATCTTTTTGGACCACAATGATATGAAAGTGGAAATCAATCACAAGAAGAAAACTGGGAAATTCACAAATACGTGCGGCTTAAACAACATGCTACTGAACAACCCATGGGGCAAAGCAAAAACCAAAAGAGAAATTTTAAAAATACCTTGAGACAGATGAAAATGGAAATACACATACCAAAACTTACGGATGCAGCAAAAGCAGTTCTAAAAGGGATGTTAACAGCCATCACTCCATCCAGAAACAAGAAAAATCTCAAATAAACAATATATTAACTTCACATGTTAAGGAACTAGAAAAGGAATAAATGAAGCCCAAAGTTAGCAGAAGGAAGGGAATAACAAAGATTAGAGCAGAAATAAATAGAGACGAAAAAGAAATAGAAAAGATCAATGACACTAAGAGCTGGCCCTTTGAAAAGATAAACAAAATTGGCAAAAGTTTGGCGCGAGTCAAGAAAAACGGAGGCCTCAAATAAAAGCAGAAACGAAAGGGGAAGCATTACAACTAATACAAGAGGAATGCAAGGGATCCTAAGAGATTAGCATGAACAATTACACACCAACAAATTGGACAAACTGAGGAGAAATAGATACATTTCTGAAAACACACCATCTACCAAGACTGAATCCTGAAGAAATAGAAAATCAGAACAAACCCGATTACCAGAAAAGATACTGAATGCGTAATTCAAAACCTCCCAGCAAAGTCCGGGACCAGCCGCTTCACTGGTGAATTCTACCAAACATTTAAAGAAGACTTAATACCAATCCTTCTCAAATTCTTTCAAAAAAAAACCGAAGAGGAGGGAACACTTCCAAACTCATTTTATGAGGCCAGGATTCTCAAGATGCCAAAACCAAACAAGGACAGCAGAAGAAAATGAAATTACAGGTCAGTATCCCGGATGAATATAAATGCGAAAATTCTCAACAAAATATTAGCAAACCAAATTCAACAATACATTTAAAATATCATTGACCACGATCAAATGGGATTTATTTCGGGGAGGGGGGGGTGAGGATGGTTCGACTTCTGCAAATCAATCAACGTGATACATGTTAACCAAATGAGGGATTACAATCACATGATGACCTCCGAAGATGCAGAAAAGGCATTTGGCAAAATTTAACATCCATCTGTGATTTAAAACTCCCAAAAAAGTGGGATAGAGTGACCATATCTCTACATAATAATGG